GCCCACCTCCAATACCTACTCTATTGATGAACTGCTAGGACACATGAAGGGACTGGTTCTGTGGACCCATAGCTGTAGGATCTCCACAACTTGGAACAACAGCAGGATATCTGAGAGGAGTCCTGGTGAGGGTCCATCACCAATGGTGTAGCCAAAGCCAGAGGCCTTGAACAAGACCAATGACTCATTGCAATAAACATTTGCAAGTAAAGCTGTTTGGAAAAAAAAGGTGTACTGCGTGACACATTGCGGTTTCCAATGCCATTGGGGGGAAAAATATGTGACAGAGAGGCAGGAAAGACAGAGGAGAAGAATGGTACAAGTATGGTGGAATTGGAGACAGTGGTAGAAGAGAACTCTGTGATTGGTAGAAGATCAGGTCATTGCCCAGATGAATTGGAGAGATTTTTTTTTATTTTAATTTTTAAATTTTCTTTTGGGAGGGAGGTTACAAGGGTGGAGGGCAGATATGGAAGACCTGGTAAATGAGTGGAAATGAGGAGCATGAATCAATGAAAAAAATGTTTAAATATTTTTTAAATGCTATACAATTAGTTTCAGAATTAAAACTGTAAAATTTACATATTTTTATATCATGGATTTATTATTTAATTTTCATTCAGTGATTACCATAATTTAAAAATCAGGGAACGAAATCCGTAGTGATGATGAGTTATCATGGAAAATGAACTTTCCTATTAAACTAGTACAGAATGCCTGAGATGACTGCACAAGCCTTTACAGAATTCAGGATCTGACTCTTCTGCAGATGATAACATTCACAAGTGGTGGAGAGTAGAAGAAGACTTGATGAGTAAGGGAAATCTTGAGTGAATATATGCTGTTGGCATGGGACTGGCCATCTCAAGAATCCTAGTCTCAGATCTCTGGGAAAATGCCAACTCACCCCCCCCCCCACACACACACACAGATAGCCTCAGAAGGATAGCAGAACATTCCTTTACAACTGTAAACATCTGCTGAGATGTTACTGTGGTGGTTTGACTAGAAATGGCTCTCAGAGGCTCATAAATTTGAATGCTTGGTCATTAGAAGTGGCACTATTAGGATGTAAGTCTTTGTTGGGATAGAAGTGGCCTTGTTGAAGGGAATGTGTCACTGGGGGTGGGCTTTGGGGTTTCAAATGCTCAAGCCAGACCCATTGTGTGTCTCTCTTTCTGCCAATCCAGATGTAGAATGCTCAGCTCCTTCTCCAGCACCATGTCTGTCTGAGTACCACCATGCTTTCCACCATGATGATAATGGACTAACCCTCGGAACCTGTAAGCCAGCCTCCGCTAAATGCTTTTCTTTATAATAGTTTCTGTGGTCATGGTGTCTCTTCACAGCAATAGAAACCCTGACAATGACAGACATTGGTACCAGAGACTAGGGTATTGCTGTGATAGACCTGATTGGGGTTTTGTTTAGAGGAATGTGAACTTTGGGACTTGGGTTTAGGAATGCTTTAAGCAGTGCTTAATGGGCCATACTAGTAGCAGCATGGAAGACAGTGGTGATAGGGGTGATTTGAACTGTTTAGGCCTAGCTCAAGAGGTTTCAGAGGAGAATATTAGCATGTGGTCTAGAGACCATTCTTGTGGTATTTTGACAAAGATTATGGCTGCTTACTGCTCTAGTTCAAAAAAATATACCTGAGGCTAAATTGAAGAGTTAAGAATTAATAGTTTTGGCAGAGGAGATTTCCAGATATCTGAAAATTGCCTGTGTTGTTTGGTTATTAGTGGCCATGCTTATACAGATCTATAATAAAAAGGAGCAAACTGAGCAAGGAAAAATACAAAATGTACAGTTTGAGGAGAAAAGGAGCACCAGGAAGTGTAATGAAGTCAAGTCGAGTATTCAAGGAGATAAAAAAGAATAAAGAAAAGCCTAGTGCTAAGTGGAATAAAGGGAATAGTGACCCCAGGGAAAGACCCCTTCTAGTTAAGCTTCAAACTTGCAAAATGGAATTAAGGAAAAGTTTAGGGCTGGTATGGTGACACATGCCATACTCCAGAGGCAGGGGCAGGAGATCTACATCTCTGAGTTCAAGAATGGCCTGGTCTACAGAGTGAGTTCCAGGACAGCAAAGATTAGGCAGTGAAGGAAACCACTGAAAGCAGAAAGCTAGTGAAAAATGTATTTGAATGAAGGACCATTTTCCAGGCCCAGAAATCAGCAGAACTTGGTAGCTTGACCACATGGTTCTGGCTTTAGAGTAAAGGATTTAAAAAAGGGGTTATGTACTTTCCCTCTGTGGCTAAAGAAAAGCTACTGAGGCCAGACATGTGTCAGGGGTGTCCCAGCATGGAGACCTAGATAGGCCATTGTGCAAAAATGAACCCTGGATTGCATTGGAGAACCCAAGATGTTGAAGATTCTAGAATCATGGAACACCTGACAAGGAGAGCTACTAACAGCATGTGAAACCAGCCCAAGAGAAAGAAGTTTTAGTCAACAAAACTTAAAAGAGTTGGAGATTCAAAGAGCACTTTGACCATAGACACAGAGATGCAAAATTTGGAGTTTGCCCTGCTGGTTTTAGGTCTTGTTTCAGTCCAGTATTTCTTCACTATGCTCCTTTTACTCCCCTTTGGAATGATAATGCATTTTATGTGCCATTGTATGTTTCAAGTCTGTGATCTTCATTTTTTATTTGATTTTAAAGGGGTTTATAGCTAAGAGATTACCTTCAGCCTCAGAAGAGACTTTGAAGTTTGGATTTTTAAACAGTGTTGAAACTGTAATAGACATGGGGACTTTTGAATTTGGACTGAATGACCTTTGCTATGATATGGAGGCCAAGGGGTGGAATGTGGGGATTTGAATAAGAATGACTTCCATAAGCTCATATATTTGAATACTTGGTCATTATGGAGTGGCCCTATTAGGATGTAATCTTTGTTGGGGTAGATGTGGTCTTGTTAGAGGAAATATGTCACCAGAGGTGGGCTTTGGGGTTTCAAATGCTTAAGCCAGGCTGTTGATCCAGATGTAGAATTCTCAGCTCCTTCTCCAGCACCATGTCTATCTGCATGCTGCCATGCTTCCCACTCTGAACCTGTAAGCCAGTCTCAATTAAATATTTTCCTCTATAAGAGTTGCTGTGGTCATGGTGTCTCCTCACAGCAACAGCAAACCTAACTAACACACCTATGGAGATTGTTTCTCCTATGACTAGCTAAATCTGCTTCCTTGTTCAGCTGAATATAATAACCCATCTCCTTGTTCAGATGTGTAAAATAACCCTGTTTTGAGCTTGCAGGGACTGGGGCTTCTCTACCTGAGATCCCAGACCATCAATCCTAGCCTTTCTGTGTGCCCCTGTATCATTTTCTTCATTCCATCACTGCTCCAGTCAGGTCCATTGCTGGAGCTACGATGGACATGGCAATAAGTCACCTCTTAAATGGAGTATTTTAATGTAAAATGTACTACTACTCTTTACCAATGTAAGCCATTGATCCCATTGCTCAGCTTTGAGTTTTTAAAATGAAACACTTTAAATCTTATTTAACTAAGTAGGATGAATTTGGAAGTAAATATGTTTACAAAATTTTCCTACAACTAGAAACAATTTCAGCATAATCACTATTTTTAAGGGATTTTGGAAAACAAAGTCAGAATGGACAGGTTATTGAAGTAAATAAATTTACAAGATGGTGATTAAAATGTAAAATTACTTCAGGGTCTTTTAACAAACCATTTAAAATAAGATAATTTACCCTTATCTCTCAGTCACCAAGTCTCAGTCCCCTCAACCTGCTAAGACTGGATGGAGGTAATAGTTTCATCCAGCCAGAGATGTGCCTAGCTCCTGCCTTTCCTGCCTCTTTCCATTTCTCAGTGTACACTATCTTCTCATATCTCCAGCTGCTCCTCTGGATATCCTTGCCAGGAGTCCCTGCCATATTAAGGCTTAGAGTTTAAACTGATTCCATTCTTCCTGAGGAAGCCTTGTCTCTCCCTACAATTCAGTCCTGGGACATTGAGCAAGTTAATTAAGATCCCTGAATTCAATTTCTTCATATAAACAGTGTCAGCTGGGCATTTCTTCTACATCTTCAATGTATGAATCACTAATTTACACCCTGGGTGAATGACTGTACCCTCTAATACTTGTACTAAATAAAAATCTATGCTGAATGGCCCAGCAATTTTGCTAATACATACATGTGTTATGGTGTTAGATGTTAATGACACTCACTCTCAGTTTAAGCCTTGCTAACATCTTCCTTCTGACCTATGAGCACTTTCAAAGTCAATTCCTTTCATAGACTTCCATGAGCTGAATATGGAATTCTTTGCAGGGCCTTTCACCCACAGCTGGCCACATCAACAGGGACACAAAGATCCTAACCAAATCTACACATTTTCACCTTTGTGAATTTGAGCTAGCTGACTTACATTTCTTAATACAGAGAACAAATGATGAGCTTACTAATTTATATTCATATTTACAATCAATAAACCCATTTCATTTTGGAAGAAGACCTGCAATAACTAATCCATGCCCATTATATTCTACCCTCTATTATTTAAATGTGAAATATAAACTAAAGAGGGAAGATTACGGAAATGCATCACCTTCATTGATAGAAAAAAATCCATGCTTAATAACTACAAGTCAGAAAGAAGAGTCTGGACTGTTTAGCGGTTGTTCTGCTGTTCCTGTTGGGGGCACAGCTATCTGCTACTGCTGATGCTCATTCTCAATGGGCAATGGGGAAGGTCACCGAGCCACATGTTCTCCGTGGCTCCAGCAAGCCCTTCCACAGTCCAAGAGAGTGAGTGCCTCCTCCCCCCAGCTTCTTATCTGATCATGTCCCTTCAGAGAAGACCATGCCCATTGGGCCAAGCTGCTCTTTACTATCGGCGAATCACATTTCTGGCAGCAATAAACTCTGATACAATATCAGTACTTGGGATTTCATCTACCACTCAAATGTGACACAATAACACTGATGTTATATTGAAACTCAAAAAATATAGAGGGATTCATTTAACATGTTATGGGAGACATTTCGGAAAGATATTTTTTATTGAAAATTTTGAACAAACACATTTCATGCAGCTTTTATAATTTCTTCATACAGTTTAAGTCCCAGCATATTGTGATTTAACATATTTCAATAAAAAGAATTTATGTATAGAATAAAAGGCATTTTAATAACTGTATGTATATATAATTATTCAACTCAACATAAAGGAAAATATTAAGAATTAATATATATGGCCAATAGAAATTGGAAGAATAAATCTTGATTTTGCAAGGCCACAGTTCCTACATCAAGAGTAAGCTGCTCTATAGCACAGACTACCCTGCCTTCCAGAGGACCACAGCCAGGAACTGACACAAACAACTCAGCCTTCATGAAGCTCTCCAGACTTTTCTGAAACAAACCTAGAAAAAGCAGAAACTCTTTAAAATAATGTCAAATAACATCTCATAACCCAAAGAAAACATACAATTAAAAAATGATAGGGCCGGGTGGTGGTGGCACACGCCTTTAATCCCAGCACTTGGGAAGTAGAGCCAGGCAGATTTCTGTGAGTTCGAGGCCAGCCTGGTCTACAGAGTGAGATCCAGGACAGTCATCAAAACTACACAGAGAAGCCCTGTCTCGAACCCCCACCCACCCACGCCCCCCCAAAAATAGAAGAGTGGACAGGAATTCCAGGCTCTTCAGAGACTGAGAGCAACACGAGGGAAAGGTGAGAAAACTGGAGACAACCCATTTCTTGTTTATACCCAATATTTCCAAGCCTTTTCTTTTTCTTTTGTGATATTGCTCCATCCACACTCGGCAAGTGCTTTCTCATTGAGCCAATTTCCCAGCTTCCCTTTTCTTTATAAGATGTGATGAACTCCAAAACAAGGCAAAAAGATATAATATCACATAGTGAGAAGACAATTTTAGAATTTCAAATAATTCTGAAGCATATTCATTGTCTCCATCATAATGGCATCAATCTGTTAATTAACATAGATTTAAGATAATAGCTAAGCTGTCTAAAGTCTCATCTCCTGAAGGGATAGTTCACTTCATCATTTAAACTGGACTCCCTGAAGGAGTGAACAGGTTCCTTACATAAGGGCAGTATTTTTCATTTATCTATCCTTTTATGGTTGAAGCCATTTATGTTTGACACACATAATTTCATGGACATGAACACTAACCCATTTTGACAACCTAAGCATCACATCCTATAAGTGGCAAGATGAAGAAAACAACTAAACTTCTCTCCCACACACGAGGGACAGACAGTGAGGTGGGGAGGCAGGCACGAGGTGGAGTCTGGGGAAGTGTCCTTGGCAGCTCATCGATGACTTGTCTGTGTTCTTTACGCCACCAGGAGCTGACCAGCGAGTGCAGGCCTTCTTTCTTTAACTAGGGCAGCTATGATGGAAGCACCTTGCTGTAAACTCTCTTGTAGTTTCTGCTCATCCTGGAAATAGAAAATGAAACAATAATATACAAATCAAAAGCAGAACACACGGATTTCAAAAACAACTATGATTAACACACTTAAAAAAACCAAAATAAATTAAAATGTTGATAAAAACAGCAAATAGAGATTTGCAACATACCCTTTATACTCAAAAATATTTTACAGTGACAGAATACAACACTGAGATTAAGAATTAATTAAGCAGGGTTGACATGAGACAGGCAGAGCAGAAGCCAGTGTTGGTGATCCTAAAGACAAGTAAGAGCAGCACATTAGACGAAGCACACAGAAAAAGATGGCAATGTTATGCTTTAATATCAGATGCTTTTACTACCATTCGATTTTCCTTATCTACTGGTACTCTCTCCCTCTCACCACAGAGAACTATGTATAGACCATTTAGGAAACCGCATAAGGACATCCCTAGAAGAGAAGTCATCTGAGGCTATTCACTTCAGGAAAAATAAAAGAGTGCAATAAGTCATCTCTCTCCCTGGACCATCAGCTCTATGTAGTGTGCCCAAATACAGTTAACACCAAATTCCCAGCCATAGTGCGATCATGGAGCACACAAACAGGGGCGACCCAGAGTACAGTGAGAGCACAAAATTCTGTGACGTTTGCTTGAGAAGGTGAAAGCCAAGGATGAGAGAAATAAACCAAATGTCTGGTGTAGACAAGAATAATTTTTGATAATCAAACATGATGTGTGATCTTATAGACATGTACCAGTGCTATAAGTCAGGTCATGAGAGAGCAAATAAAGCCAAATTCCCATGCTAAAAAGTAAAGGAAAACAACCCACATTGAATTCATCAGCAGTTTATGTTCTCTCTATAGCTGCAAGAACATTAATTCTAGGGCTACAGAGATGGCCCAGTGGTGAAGAGAACACACTGCTCATTCACAGAGTTCCCTTCCCAGGACCCACATCAGGCAGCTATGAACTCCTGTAGCTCCAACTGCTGGAGCTCTGCTGCCCTCTTCTAACCTCCACGGACATTGCACACACACACATCCCCACAGAGATCAACACCTACACATGTCCTCAAGAGATAAAGATTTTCAATGCTACACGCTAGTGTTTGCATTTACAGGCATAAACTTGTAAAGCACAGTTGGTGGACTTGAGTAAGCAACAGTTTGTACTCAGTGCTACCGGACGCTCGATGCTCTGTAACAGCATACCCTCTCCTGCATTCACAGTCACTGCATGGCTCTTGCTATCTGTCCTGTTACCCTGTTCACTTGCATAGCACTGCAAGATTTTTTTTTTGCTTGAAACTCTATTCTCTTGCAAAACAATAAAAATCTAACAAGTATTTGGCAATAGAGTATCTACTCTTTTTTAGTTTTATTTATACCAATAGCAGGGCAAAGGTAAAAACTCAGCTGAAATGGGGAACATGTGGATTCCCATGAAAACACTGAAGGAAAGAATATTAATTGTTAAAAAGAGTCATTTGAGGATGATAGATGTGTCAACTTGACTACATCTGAAATTAACCAAGACCCAAATGGCTGGGTACACCTGAGAGGGATTTTTTTTTTCTTAATTAAATCATTGGAAATTGGAAGACCCATGCCTAATCCAGATCTTTGAGGTGGGAAGATCTGCTTTTAATAAGAGCCACACTTTCTGCTAGCAGTTTATATAAAGGACACAGAGAAAGGAATCTCTCTCTCTCTCTCTCTCTCTCTCTCTCTCTCTCTCTCTCTCTCTCTCTCTCCCTGCTTGCTTGCTTGCTTGCTTGCCAACTTCTTTGGGATTCTAGTATATAATAAAGAGCAGCTGATATATCCAGCCTCATCCCACGGACTGAACAACTACTGGATTCTTGAACCTTCATTTGGTAGACAGTCATTGTTAGACTAGCTGGACCACAGTCTGTGTGTGTGTATATATATATATATATATATATATATATATATATATAATATCTTTATATATATATATTATATCTTAATTCTATAAGTTCTGTTCCTCTAGACAACCCTGACAATCCAACAGATTTATGGCAATTCTTTCTTCTTTGTGCTTTGCTATATTTTAAAAGATTTAATCACAAACTTATTTTAGGTTTCTCAGAAGCAAAACAAATTTTATTAAACTTATTTTCACGATGATTTACATTTAAATTGAATTTGCATCATGTAAAATCAATAATCTAGAATTTTATCTGAATTTTCAGAGAATGTGTCTACATATAATCTTCAATATTTTTTACAAAGAAAATATTTTGTTTGGAAAATCCAGCCTTATTTACGAGACAGCCAAGAGAACATTAATAATTCAGCAATGTTAGTTTTCAATTGATCTAAGTCAATAGAATGTGAAGCAATATATTGTGGCAGTCAAGCTAAAAGTGACCAAGTTTGTCTTTAGTTTTATTCAGTTCATAACAATTACTCAATGACATACTGAGAGCTTAACTGTCAGATTTTGAAAGTGTAAGGAATAACAACAAGGGAACCACACAAAATGACTATTTTTAATGCTCTATATCCTTAAACTGCAATATTGAGCATCAGAATTTACTATGAGTTTTACCTAGGAAATTTTGTTCATTTACTTTTCAACCACCTAAAATTTCAAGATTGAGTTGAATGTAGTATACTTGTACAAAAGTTGTGTGCATGCACACACAAGTTCTAATAACCCTTATCTTTTTTCTCATCTAAATTACATTTATTTTTGAAATTTTTAAAATTTAAAATTGTTATATTTCTTCCCTCCCTTAACCCCTCCATAGGCTCCTTAACTCCCTCTGAAATTCACAATCTCTTTTTAATTATTATTGATATACATGTATATGCATATATACATATATATGTGCATAAATATATAAATACAGCCTGCTGAGTCTGTTTAGTGTTACTTGTATGTATGTGATTTCAGGACTGACCACTTATTTTTGGATAATCAATTAGGGAGCACCAAGAAATACTAATTCTGCCTCTCTTTGCAGTCCTTTTTTGCCTATAGCTGTTTGTCTAAGGTTGGGGATCCCATGAGATTTTCCCCTTACACATTAGCATGTCCATTGGTGATGTCAAGCTTCAGGTCTTATTTAGGCAGCCATAGTGTTGAAATATCATGGATGTAGCTTTCCTGTCATTTCTTGAGGAATCAATCTCACCAGGGCATACTCCCTGTTCCTCTGGCTCTTACACAATTTCTGACCCTCTTCAGTGATGCTCCCTAAATCTGAGGTATAGGGGTTGTGCTGTAAATATATCAGTTGCTCTCTGCATTTTGATCTGTTATGGCTTTCTGTAATGGTTTCTGCTTGCTACAAAGAGGAGCTTCTTTGATGGTTGGTGAGAGCTACAGCATAAGTGTTCAGAATACAGTTAGGAATCATACTGGTTTAGTACAGTGGCAGCAGTAAGTTCTATTCTTAGAGCCATGATAACACTAGCCATGGGTAGGTGGTTAGGTTTCCATTACCAGGTATGATTTCCCTCATGTTCAGGGAGGCTTAAGTCCAATTAGACAGCTGATTGGTGCCAAGACAGAAGAGCTACTATTGCACCTTTAATGAATATTTTTCTGCACTGGATGTGGTTGTTTGTGGTTTATTGTTGTGGATTATATGCATCATAGCTGATTGCTTCTCTTGGTAGCTTGCATAGCACCTTCCAGTACTTTGAAGGACAACTCTCAGCTCAGATCCAGCTCGAGTCTTCTAAATCCTTTGTTCAAAGTGCAAGTTGTCCTTAGCAACAGAAACTTACCCTCAACTTCTGGGAAGTAACCAATGAGAAAAGCAACATCCTATATTGTTTTAGGAGTCTCTTGGACTGCCTAACCAACAAAGCAAAAGGAGGTTTCTCATACCTGGTACTGGGGTTTCTGTCATATAGTCCATGACTCTTGGGGGGATCATTATCTCCCCAAGGGGCACACATCATTGAAAAATTACATATGTATACACACACTTTGTCTTCGTTATTTTGCTCTTGCTTTGACAAAACACTATGACCAAAATGGCTTATAAAAGAAAGTGCTTCAATTGGCTTACGGTTTCATAGGGCTATAGTTCATGGTGGCAGCAATGCTGAGAGTTCACATCTCGATCCACAGTAGTGCGTTGATGGAGAGACACTGGAAACGATGTAAGTCTTTTAAAACCTCAAAGCCTACCACCAAGGAGACACCTCTTCCAACAAGACCACACCTCTTAATCCTTCCCAAACAGTTTCACCAACTAAGGATCAAGTATTAAAATATATGAGCCTATGGAGGATCAAGTATTAAAATATATGAGCCTATGGAGGGCATTCTCATTCAAACTACCACATACTTAACATGTAATTTTAAGTAAATATAAAACAATATGATTCCCTATGGCTTTTTCAACCCCCCTTAGTGTTATCTTTCCTCCATTGCCCTTCTTCTGTATTGATCTCCATCCCCTATGCCCAATTAAGCCTCACCCACTTTCCCTATACTTTCCTTCATATCACTTGTATAATGCTCTTTGTAGAACTTGCCCTAAAAAAAAAATTGTCTTTTTAACAGATAAGGCAATATTCTAATTTTATTCCACAGCAATTAAGTTTTGTGTGTAGAAGCCTACACGTTACTTTGGTCTTATCCTATGTGTGTGATTTGTTGTCTGTTGATGAATTGATTGTCTCATGTCCATCATATTTTTCACCTTCTGCCAAGAAGTCAGTCTTGGGGAAGAAATCCTTATGCGACTTCTAAGCCTCTAGTGAGCTTTTTGAAAAGATTTGATTCTTTGATGTCACCAGAGCAATTCTTCCTCAACTCCTAGCAGCTCTCTCTTCCCTTCTCCAGTTCCATCTTGACATTTACAACAGAAGAGCTCCTGTTCCAAAATTAATTTGCAAAGAAGTGGCATTCAGAAAGCACAACAGTGGCTGAGATCATAAAAGCTCTGTCTTCATCACTCTTTTCTTACTCCTTGTCCCTTTTAATTCTGACAAAAGGCAATTTTTGGAGAAACTATTTCCAGAGTACTTAAAGT